CCCCCCCCCCCCCCCCCAGAAAAACACATAGGAGAACCATGGTGGAGGCGCCCCTGTCCTCCATTGTCCCCTCTCGCCCAAAAAAAACACACCCTGCCACCCATTCCTTTATCCGACACCAACCCCCCCCCCCCCTAAGAAGAAAACCCTGCTGGATCCCCATCCGCGCGTGGCTGCAACGCGTCACATCAACAGGCATTGAACAATAATCGGGCGTCGTAATTTAAAACCGAATGACGCACTGACGGGCACGACAGCAATCAACACCCTTCAAACTAATAAAAAAATTCGACTCTTACAATGGAAACCGCTTGCAGAAACGACCCGTCCTCTGTACACAACCTGCCCACCACCGCACAGCAGCACGCAGTACGGGGGCAACGCCGACGATCCAGAAGCACACACGAGGCATTCGCGTGGACGTTGGACATGTGCGGCCCATCGACTTCATGATCGTTCGCGGATCGCTTTAGCAATCTCCATAAGGGCGTTGCACATCAACAGGTTTGCCTGGTCGGCCTTCACGTAGTGCTCCTTCTGCACTTCTAGCTCTCGCTCGAGAATGTCGCATTGCCTAGTCAGAATTGAGCACTGCCTCTTGCTCGCGTTGTCCACCGTCGTCGCCATCAGACTCCCGTGGTCCTTCATGACGTCCGCAATCGTGTCGAAGGTCTATCGTCTCACATTCTTCCTTTTGCCGCACCCGCCCACACCACCGCCGCTGAAACTTGAATTCCGCGTCGATCCCTGATCGTCGTCCTGCCCATCCCCGCATCCGTCACTACCGCCTGAATCGTTCCGACCTCCAGGCCGGCCTGGCAGTTGAACACCTCCCGCCGCACCCGTGTCCGCCAGATTCGTGAGGTGTATAATGTGATCGCCCCTGGACATGGCCATCATCTCCGAATACACACGCTCGTCCATCCGAAAATCGAACCCCCGCTCCTTTCTCTCTCGCGGCGTCAGTGTGAAGAAATTAGGCTTCCCCGATTCTCCCATGAACTTGTGCACAATTTTGAACTGCATGTACAGGTTGTCCCATTTTTTCCCGCAGTCGTCGGCCTTTTTAGTCGTCACCCCCATCTGCACGAGCCTGCTCTCGATGTCGGCCCACTTCCATGTCTTCTTCTTCATCCTTCCCATGTTGTGGCCGAGGCCAGCAAGATGCAAATCCTGGTCTCTTTTAGCTCTGACAAGAGCAATCATGTGTTCCACGGTCCAAAAATCCCTACTTTTCGCTCCGTCGCCTGCCGACGCATCTCCCGCAGTCTTCTTGCCTCTCCGCCCCGCGCGCGGCTCGCTAGACTTGCTTGTCGCCCTAGGCCCTCCCCGTTTCTTCCCCAGCGGACGAATCTACATATCCCCGTCATCGTCGTCGTCGTTGTCATTGCCCCCGTCGCCTGCCGAGAAATCTTCACCACCCTCACGGTCGCAATCGCCGGGTGTGTCGTCGGCCCCTACATGGATCTTCGCCACCCCTCTCGTTATGGCGGACATGCTAGATTGACGCGATTGTCACCGGTAATCATCCCAAACCTCTCGCCCCTCGACCTCCGCAGCGTAGCCGTCAGCGTCATCCCGTCCTCGGTGGACTGCGCCACCTGCCATTGTCGATCCACATGTCCTCGCCCCCGACGCGAGAACACCTGCTGTGCCCACTACCGCCCGCCCTCGCGAAACGAGTCCACATTCGTCACCCGACTGACCAGAACCCCGGCCGCGGGTGTCAGGAAGGCCACACGGCCCCACCGAAGGCGCTGTGTGGTTGCTGCCAGAACCCGGGTTCACGAGAATGGTGTGCGTGACATCCTGGTCACTCCCAGACCTCAAACCGAAGTTGAGATCTACGAGCCCTCCGTCATAACCAACCGGGGTCCGCCCCTCCAGCAGATCAGTGTATGTCGGCGTCGAGGGTTGTCTGTACAGCTGGCTCCCCATCCAATCCTTCGTTGAACCGCTGCCCAGAGGAACCGTTGATGATCGGGGCTCGTCTCTGTCGTCGTCACTCGGAGGCAATGGAATCTCGTGGGACGGCAGGTGGCTGTACAGCGTCGGGTCGTACGGGCGCCTGCCGCCTTCCGCAGAGCTAAAACGCTGACGTCACGACCCGCCAGCCCCTACGGACATCGTCCTATTCGTCTACACCTTCTCCATCTTACCGGTCGCCTTCGTCGTTCGCCGCCTCTGTTTCCTCCCAGGGACGCGACCGAGGATGCATATATGAAAGACGACAACGGCAAGCAGCAGCACAGCGACAAGCAGCAACAAAGGCAGCCTGCGGCACAGGTCAGCCATGAAGGAGAGGGGACGCACTTGGCTGTCGCGATCACGGCGACCGGAGACACATGTTGTACAAGGGAAGACGCCAACGTACGAAATTGCTGCAGCCACCGGCCGGGGGTGGACGCTTAAAGAAATTCGTGTTTCCGACCGTTGGGCAGCCCGCGGGAACGCTACGACACCTCCACGACCCGCCCGAAAACGTCTGATGCCCGGCACAGCACCGCCGTGGGGCCGCCCGACAAACCGACAGGGACGTACCGCCAATCCCCGACAACGGTAAAAGACGAGGCCGTTGGTGGACGTTTTGGACGTTGGCGCCTCGCGATATCCGTCTTCTACACGGAGGACCACCACTAGACCACCTCCGACCACCAATTTCCCTTTTGGACTCGCTGCCGACACCCCGATTATCGCGGATCCTCGGACTCCGAGCGGACTCCGAGGGACCTCGCGAGGTCCCTTGGAGCCGAGGACGGTTTGGCTGGAAAATCCTCGGAGCCCGAGGATTTGCCCTCGGAGTGTTTTCACATTTTTGTTTCGAAAATCGGCTCCGAGGACAGGTGGAACGAAGACGAAATCCTTGGAATCTCGTCCCCGAGGTGTGTTGAACGACGCCCAAAGAATCCTTAGTCGGAACGTGGAAAGATACATTAAAATGTGTATATACATATATATAGATAGATAGATAGATAGATATACATTTTCATTGTTTAGCAATCGCAGAGGGCAGAAGGAACAGCTTGTTGGGGCTCTCTCCACTACTCCCCATACGTATCTTTCCATGTTCTACGGGAGGATTCGGTCTCATTTTGCACATTTGGAGAGTAGTGGAGTGAGGGCAATTCTCCAAACAGGCAAAGTAAGACTGGATCCTCGGCTGGAACATGGGAAGATATATATTTTCTTGTTTAGCAGTTGTTATTGGTGGGGAATAGTAAAGTGAGGCAGTTTATCAACCCACTTGTCGAACGTGATAGGCGGGGCTCTGGCAAAACTGAAAGGCGTTTTCTCACTTCTTTTGCCCGCCAAGTGGCGGGAACAGCCTT